GTGCGCACACCTGTGGCCCGACCCACAGAAGTGAGGAGGCAGGTTCCCCTCGCGGCTCTGAACCTCACTGGCTGGAAAGGCAGGAGGGGGCTGGCTCGCCCTTTTCTCGGATGAGGAAGCTAGGGGCGGCCTGGAGGTGGTCCTCAGCGTGGGCTCCGAGCCGGGTCCCATTGCAGCCCCACCCTTCTCGGGCTGTGTGTCCTTGGGCAAGTTACTCAGCCTCTCTGTGCCTCCGCTTCCTCCTTTGTGCAGCAGGAAGAACTGTTACAGTACCTACCTCGTATATTCCTCACGGGGATTACTTGGGTTAACCGGGGAAGATGTTCAGAACAGTGCCTGGCACGCTCTTTAGTGTTTGCCATCCTATAAGGCTCCCCTGTGTGGCGCAGGGGACCGGGAGTGCCGGGCTCCCGCCTGCGCGGACCGCCTCCCACCTGGGGATCCCTTGCGCCCACCCCAGAAGCGGATCTGGGTCCTCCCCGACGTCCACCAGCCTTGGCTCTGGGAGGGGAGAGCACTTTGGGACTTTTCCGCAATAAAGTCACGAGATCTGAGCTTTCCCGTGTCGTTACTGGTGACACGCCTGGTCCTCGCATCCACGACCTACTTGGATGCATGTAGTGGCGCCGCTAGGGACTCGCGCATGATAGTGGGTTTCCGGTGGAAACCAAGTCCCCAGGACAACTGTCATTGCCTCTAAGCAGGGCCAGCAGGGGGCGCCCTCACCTCAGAAATCTTTGGTCTCCAAGTCCGAGTTAGGGATCCTCAGCAAAGCCTCAGAGCTGACGGAAGGAGTCTCGCTTCTTGGGGGCCTGCACAGAGGAGAGGAACAAGCGCCCTGGGCTCCGAGATGCGGGGAGTGGCGGGTGGAGTGGTGGCTTGGACAGATCTCCACCAGGAGGTCCAGGATGCTGGAGGTAGAGGCCCCAGGGGGCTCTGGGAGTTGCCTTAGACCTTTCCCTGGAACCCAGGGCTTTTTAAGTCTCTCAGAAAAAAAGCACAGCTCACACCGCCCCCCGCCCCCCATCCCCAGGGGATTAGCACCCACACCCTCTCTCCCTAGAATCTCTAGGAATTGAGGCTGCCTGGCCCAGAACCTGGGGTAAGGGGTGTGACTAGTGGGAGCTAAGCTGAATGCAGGACACCAGAGAGCTGACTGAGCCTGCAGGGGTGGGAGCATCGGACAGACACAAATACTAGTGGCGGTGCTCATGGGTGAGAAGGGCACCTATGGGTGCCTTCGGAGGTAGGGATGGGAAAGGACCCGATATCTGTAGGATATGGAATGCGTCTCTTCCAGTTTCGCAGCCCATACCTTAGGCCTGAGTACCACCTCCTGCCTCCCACGGCCTCTCTGAAGTGGGCCCTGGCTGTCCTGGGCCTGGGGTGGGCTGGCTGGCCACCTCTCTGGACCCCACTGCCTTCCCGTGAAGGTGAAGGGAGTCACCCAGTCCTCGGCCAACCTCACTATTCATGAAAACTACCTCCGTTGTGTTAAAACACAGGTGGCTAGACCTCTCCGTGTGAGATGCCCATCCAGCAGGTCTCAGGCAGCATCTGGAAACTTCATCTTTCCTAAACGCCCCACGTGATCTGGGCTTAGACCATGGTCTGGATGCATGTAAGAATTGCTGTGAGAGGGAAATGGGGGGACAGTGTGGGGAGGGCACATTGAAAATAATTCCAGATGGGATGGGGCCCTCAGCACATTTTAGATGTCCCCAGCTGGCTAACGTTCATCAGGATGGAACCGCTGGGCTAGGCGTGGGGTTTGGAAGTCCCCTCACCTGTGGGGCTGGCTGCCAGTGACCGGGGCACATTCTCAATGACACGGTGTCAGGCAAGGCAGTCACATCTTCTCCACCTCCCCCTCCTCAGGGTAGTTTCCTAGAGGAGATGCTGGAGCTTGAAGGACCAATGAGACTTTTCCCCACTAGGAGGCGCCCTTGCCTTAGCGGTAGCCAGAACTGAGCCAGTGTCCTGGTGGTTTTTGTTAGGTGTGTAAGTGACCATAAAGGACAAGAAGTCTTCTGATTCCCAGCCAGAGAATGAAGTGTGAGAGGGTGTGGAGAGATAGAGAGAGACAGCAAGACAAAGAGAGGCAGGGAAAGAAAGACAGACAGAGACACAGAGAGAGAAAACAGAAAGAAACAGAAACAGAGAGTACATGAATGGACACACACAAAAAAAGGCAACATTTCCTGCTCTGAGAACTTGTCTTACAAGTGGGAGGGGAGACTATTCAAGGCTGTGGAGGCCATATTCTCCCAACCATAACCTGCACATGTGAGGATATTGGAAAGGGGCCCAGGCCGAGGACATCTGGAGCATATGATTGCTGCCTGCGCACCCAGAGCTCTGCTGAGGAGTGGGCCCAGCCTTGGACCCCAGGTGCTGTCTTGCCTGCGATGAAGACTGTGCTTCCTCCCAGAGCCAGCACACACTTACACAGTTGCATCTGTTGTAAAATGAGTCTCAACAAGATTTTCGAGGTCGGGTAGACCTGGGTTTCAATTCAAGCACTTTTCTCTCCTTGGATGTATGACCCTTTGAGGCACTTCGCTTCACTTCACTGGGCCTCAAGTTTCTTCATCTGTAAAATGGGCACACTAATAACACATACATTATAAGCTCATTTTGAGGTCTAGATGACATAGTACATGTGAGGCATTTATCCGAGTGCCTGTCTTATGGGAAATGCTCAGAAATGTTAGCTCTTATTATTTTACTATGTCTCCCTCAAGAAAGGCCTTCCGAGACCCTGATCCACAACTTTCACCACCCTTCGCTGGGTTTCCCCTGACCTCTATGGTTCTCTATCTGTTGCTATGATTTTTGTTTGTTTGTTTGTTTGTTAGTTTACTCCACACTCCTCACACCCTTGGGCTAGAACTGGGAAATAAGTGCATGGGGTGAAGTTAAGGACCTAGGTTTGCCCAACACTTTTCAGCTGTGTGACTTTGGGCAAGTAACTCAAGTCCTCTAAGCCTCAATTTTCTCAACTATAAACAGGGAGAACAGTGACTCCCTTACAAGGTTGTTTTAAGGATTTAAAGAGGACTCTGAAAACGGAACGGTACATAAGATTGCCACAACAAATACCACAGGCTGGGCTTCGGCCACAGACATGTATTTTCTCACAGCTCTGAAGACTGGAAGTTCAGATCGAATGTCAGCAGGGTTTCTTCCGAGGCCTCACTCCTTGGCTTTCAGACGGCCGCCTTCTCCCCCTGTGTTCTCATGTGGTCTTCCCTCTGTGTGTCTGTGTCCTAATCTCCTCTTCTTTTAAAAAAAATATTTTTATTAATTTAGAGAGGAAGGGAGAGAGAGAGAGAGAGAGAGAGAGAGAGAGAAACATCAGTGATGAGAGAGAATCATTGATCAGCTGCCTCCTGCAGGCCCCCTACTGGGGGCTGAGCCTGCAACCAGGGCATGTGCCCTGACAGGGAATCGAACCGTGACCTCCTGGTTCATAGGTCAATGCTCAAGCACTGAGCCACACCGGCCGGGCCTAATCTCCTCTTCTTATAAAGATGCCAGTAATATTGGATTAAGGCCCATCCAATGACCTTATTAGACTCCATCTCCAAATAGTCACATCCTGAGGTTCTGGGAGTTAGGACTTCAATGTAGGAATCAGCGGGGGGGGATTACAATTTAGCCCATAGCAAATAGTAATACATAAATGTAATAATTATTTCTTCTTTTGTATTTTCTTTTTTCATATTATTTCTTATTCCTATTTCTTCTTTCATATATTCCACTATACCTGGCCAGTGGTAGGCCCATGGTAGGTACCAGTGTATTCTCGTGACTGACTGACTAGTTTCAGAAACAAGAATATTTGCTGTGAATAAACTTCCCATCCACAAATCAGGAAGATCCAACGCGAAGCTG